GGTCATAAAATGGAGCAAAACTCAGTTAACAAATGTCCATACCAGAGCTCTTCAACTTGGCTCTTTTTATGACCTGTGGACTTCAACTCCAACACAGTGCTAGGCTGCATGAACAGAGGGATAGAATCAAGATCATGTGAAGTGTTAACACCACTTCACAATACCTTGGTAAGGCCACACTTGGAATACGGCATCCAGTTTTGGTCATCACGATGTAAAAAAGATGCTGAGACTCTAGAAAGAGTACAGAGAAGAGCAACAAAGATGATCAGGGGACTGGAGGCTAAAACATACAAGAAACGGTTGCTGGAATTGGGTATGTCTAGTTTAACGAAGAGAAGGACGAGGGGGGGACATGGTAGCAGTGTTCCAATATCTCAGGGGCCGCCCCAAAGAAGAGGGAGTCAAGCTATTCTCCAAAGCGCCTGAAGGCAGGACAAGAAGCAACGGATGGAAACTCATCAAGGAGAGAAGCAACCTAGAACTAAGGAGAAACTTCCTGACAGTTAGAACAATTAACCAGTGGAACAACCTGCCTCCAGAAGCTGCGAATGATCCAACACTGGAAGTTTTTAAGAAGAGACTGGACAGCCGTCTGTTTGAAATGGTATAGGATTTCCTGCCTGAGCAGGGGGTTGGACTAGATGACCTCCAAGGTCCCTTCCAACTTAATGATGATGATGATGATGATGATCATCATCATCATCATCATCATTATTATTATTATTATTATTATTATTATTATTATTATTATTATTATTATTAATTCCTCAGCCAGGTACCCAATGGTATTTTTTGGAAGAGACCTAGGGATCCTTCCAAATCAGAAGTGGGGAATGATGGCCCCTTTATGACTTGTGGACTTCAACTGGCTGGCTCAGGAATTCTGGGAGTTGAAGTCCACAAGTCGTGAAAGGCGCTCTTGTTTCTCATCCCTGTTCTAAACCAAGCAGGGGGGTTTAATTGCCCTTCTTATTTCGTAGGAAAGCGAACCGTATGGATTTTGCCATGCTGAAAAAGCTGCATGGCGCTTCCCAAGAGTAACAAGCTGGAGGAAAACAATTTTAATTATATATCTGTCTAGCATTGTTTCTGTTCCAGCCAGCAAATTTGACAGGCATTATTTAGGTTCATTATGTTACTAATTAATTTTATTCTAAAAACAGACAGTGCTGGGCTATTTTAGAGTAAGAGGAAATATCTACCCGGTATCACTGAATGGAGCTGCTATGCTAAAGCCGTTTTTCCTTGGTTCTGTGCAGAGAATAAACCTCAGCTTTCTCTGCCAATAAGAGAGCTGTGTGATCAGTTATTTGCACTATAGCCCCACACACCAGAAGTCTAGTTTAGACAAAGATTGGAGTGGTTTATGGGCCAGGCTCAACTATAGCTTTCTAAGCTTGGTTGTTTTCTTTGTAGATGTTTCATGACCCAACTAGGTAACATCTTCAGTGTTGCTGAGTGGAGGAGGAGGAGAGGGAAGTAAAAGCGGAGAGAGCAAGGGAGGCAGGAGGAGGAGGAGGAGGAGGAGAGCAATGACTGTGGGATCCTTGGTGCTCTCTGAGCTTGGCTTTCTTGCAGACATTTCATGACCCAACTAGGTAATACCATCAGTGCTAGGCGGGAGTGAGGTTTGCTGGTTTTCTTGGCAACCATATGGAGGTGGTTTGCCAGGGCCTTCTTCCAGAGTGTCAGACCTATTTAGCAGTTGAGGATTTTCCTGGTGGTCTTCCATCCCTGTATCAGTCTGGCCCAACTCTGCATTGTCCCTGAACCAAACAAGGTTGGTGTGATGCTGTCACTTTGTAAGTTAGTGAAATTGGAATTCTGCTCAAGCCATTAAAAAAATTCCACTTTGAGACTTCGATTGAGGCCAATAGAACTGTCCATGGTCCTGAGCTTTAAAAGTTGCTTGTTGTCCGGTAGACTCATCTGCCTGTTCTTTTCACTAGTGCAGGGGTAAGCGACCTTGGCTCTTTTATGATTCGTGGACTTCAACTCCCAGAATTCCTGAGCCAGCACAGCTGTCATGTTCACGAGTCATAAAAGAGCCAAGGTTGCCTACCCCTGCACTAGGCTAAGATAATCCTCAATGGGATTATGCAAACATTCATTGATACCTTCCTTGACAAAAAAAACGGGTTGCTTCCCCGGCCAAAACCATTTTTAATAGCTGAGGCTGCAGTTTGCTTTAAAAATAAAATTGACTTTGGGGTCTTGCTAAAGAAGAAAAATTACAGTTGATCTCCTTTATGATCTCACAAAGATATTCACATCTAGTCTTGGGTAATATGAAACCCTCTTTAGAATTTTGAGAGATTTGTTTTTTTTTTTTTAAAAGCCAGTTAACAATGAAGTGAACAATACAGCATCTTAATTATTAGTGGTCGGATTTTTCTTGACATTGTTTCTTCGTGTTGCTCTATTGAAGTTCCTCGGGGTAAGAATTCCCCTGTTGTATTTTGAACCTTTAATAAGCCATGTTTGTTTGCAGAGAGGATGGGGGGGGGCAGGTAACAAAACAAGCATCACAACACAAGCGCTTTCCTTTTTGTGCGTGTGTCATGATGCTGCATGCACTCACATAAGGGGCAGTGCTTCTGTTGCAGTGCTCGTTATGTCGTTCTACCAAGACTGTTGGACTCAGCTGATGCCTCTGGACCAAATGAAGAAAGATGGATGCTTCTGAATTACCGTGTTGGAGAAAATGGTTCAGAAAACCCTGAATGAAAGAAGGACAAATAGTTCACTTTTATTGAAAAATTTTTTTTTGCTGCTGGCTGAAAGTACAAAGAATGAAGCTAAAGCTTGAATATTTTGGATGTAGAATGCAAAGATGGAAAAATGGAAGGGAAGCAAAAAAGAGGCTGTAACAGTGTGTGCAAATGATCGTGGGATACAGGAGGACCTGCAGGCTAGACCACAGTCCCGCAAAAGGCACCTCAGAAGGAAAAGAGGAAATAAGTCTTAGAAGATTGGTGCTAGGTGTTTGAGGGACTCCAGATCACAGCTCTGAGTGCTAATTTGACCTTTATTGTAAGATTACATTAATAGGATCTTGCAAGGCTGAAAGTATTTTCTCCTCTCTTTTCCTTTTATTCTCTGGAAAACTAGAAAGGGTCCCGTCTGCTTCCCAAGCCCTCCCTCCTTCTGTAGGCTAATAACCTTTCCCATGATGGTTGTTCAGTCTGTGGCTGTTCCTTCTGTCTCCCAAGGTCATTCACACAGGGCGTTACAGAGGCCAACTCCATCCAAGTTCTAAGCAGCTTTGATTTTACTCCGCTTTCTGGGTCATCTCGGTGCTGCCATCTTGCCTGGCAAGCCCCACTCATTTCTGCATTTAATGCAGTGGTTCTCAACCTTTTTAATGCCGCAACCCGCAACCGGTCGTAAGTCGAGGACTACTCAACCGGTCTTAAGTCGAGGACTACTCAACTGGTGCAGCACCGTTTGCAGAATGGGACTTTTGGCGGGCTCAGCAGGGCAGAGACAGCCTGGACAATTCCTATTGGCTTTTGAAAGCCAATAGAATTAGACTCTATTCAACAGAGTCTATTCTAATTGGCTTTCAAAAGCCAATAGAATAAAAGGGAGTAGCACCGCTAAGGAAAAGGGGAAAAAATGGCGGACTGCGTTGTTTGGCGACCCCCGTGAAATGGTTGTTTGACCCCAAATGGGGTCCCGACCCACAGGTTGAGAACCACTGATTTAATGTAATGTGCACTTAAAGCATACACGAGCATTAGTTGTCCTCGTCTTAGCCATTTTTGGGGAATGCAGCTCCTGGTGTGCCTTTCAGAGGCCTGGAAGGTCTCCCCTTCCCCATCCTGCTCCTTAGGAACTTCCATCCATCCCACTCACCACATCCCGGCCTTTGCTGATGTTTCCAACAGCTGCTTTGCTATTTTGCCAAGCCGGTGGACTGCTTCAGCGCCCGGCCTTTTTTTTTTTCTAGGAAGACATTGATTCTCGGCAAAGAAGGAGAGCTGCAGGAATTGTCTCTCCAGCAAAATTTCCTGAAATTACTCAGTCACCTTGTCGTAAGGCAGGCAGGAGCCCATCCGCCGCTGAATAATTGAACAGGCTGCAGATTGGCAGTGCGGTGCAGCCCTCGCTGGCTGGCCGAGGCCATGTGCTGCAGGAGCCTTGAGAACGTCAGCTGGCTGCTGCCTTGCTCGCTCGGTATTTCCTTCCTCCTCCTTTTCCGCCAAGGAAAGACAGATCCAGCATGGACCTCCTGTTTCCTTCTCCCCGGTGGGATGTTCTGTCCAGGGTGAGGGAGAGCGTATATGTGCAACACGGCCAAAGACCTGACACCGAACACTGAAACTGGTGCACAGTATTGGTGATTAGATTCACCCCACCTCCATTAAGCTGCCTGCAAACTAACTAAAGATGAGTCTGGCTGAGCTTAGCCAGCTGTCCAAAGGCGGCCATTAGGATCCTGCCTGTGTTATGCTAATCTGGGTCTGTGACAATTTGCCAGGGCCAACCCACCATGGAATAACTCGTGGTGGGAGGAGAGTTAAACTAATATCGAAGAAATAGTGGCATAGAGTCATTAAAGAAAGGATGCAAAAGGAGGGACAGAATGAAATGGGAGTGGCCAAAATTGAAATATTTTTTAAAATTATTTTAAACAAATTGAATTGTCGAATTGTCCTGCAGTGTCCCATTCCGTGCAAATCTTATCTAAGGTTCTCCACGGAGAGGCAGATGTGATGGGACTCCACAACGCAAGCAGTTCAGTTGAGAACTTTTAGTAGTTGTCTTGTGCACAACACACAATTTGACACGCTTTCAACCGGGTTAGGGGTTGTGGGGTCTGCATTTGGCCAGGCTGTGGTTCGGAATAGGCAGAAAACATCAGTTCGGGAAAAAGATGCGGGATGTTTAGGAAAATCATAAACAGTCACTAAACTAATGGTTATGTCAAGGTTATGTATTTATTATTATTTTTTTAATCTTCCCAATTTTCTTACTTGGTATAAAGGCCTCTCTGAAAAACCAGTAGACGGTTCACTGATGGATCCAGGATGATTCGAGAAATGGGTCAGCAGAGAAACAAATGAAAATAATCCGTCAGAGAGCAGCAACCCACAATCCTTTGCATGATTCCCTTGCCCAGTGTGATTGAGACCCTCCTTCCTTCTCTTGCTTTGGCCTCCCAGAAATAGGTTATTAAATCCCCCAGCTGCAACCCTCCTGTTTTGAAAAGCAAAGGAATTTTTTTAAAAAAGATGGAAGAGAAAATGATGAGCAGCCAAAATATTAAAGCAGGCTCCATTAATATCCGTGGAAAAGAAATGGGGCCGTCCCAATCGTGCTGGTGTTTTTCAGATCTGGGTCTCTGTAGCAAATGAGGCTTTGCTGGGTGAAGGTCAGGTAAAAAAATTGAGGCTAACAGAAGAAAATAAAACCCACTAGGGTTTGTTTAGCAAAGAGGAGGAGGAGAAGGAGGAGAGGAAGAAGAGAAGAGACAAGCAAGCAAGTAAACAAGCAAGCAGAAATGTGTGTGTTAGATTTGTGCAGGTTTTTCCTCGGTGTGCATTTACATCTCTGGTGTCTGTGCCTGGGATGAGATCCAGGTAATTGCACAGACGCCTCTTTGAACAACTGCACACTGCAGTCAAGCAATGCAAGTGATCCTAGGCACTTGCAACAACAGCCGCCAGCCTCTCTCGTGGGCACTGAGGGATTGACCCACAGCCGTGCCCGATCCCTGCTACAGCAAAAGGGAGATGGTGGTAGGATGGAGGAGAGCCTGAATTTTGATAGCAGCCAGGATAAAATTGAAGACAGGATTTGAGCCCCTTGTTCTGGGCACCAGCCAGATTAAGGAAGAGGGAGCGAGAAGGCACATGCTGGAGTGGAAAAGAGTTGGCGAAGGATGCGAAAAGGAGGAGATAGCTGCATGTTCAGCCCTTCATGCTTGGTTTCCTTTCTCGTCAAGGCTTGGAATAATCTCCGAAGGAGCTGGGCAGTTATAAAACGGGGAAAACAAATAAAGAGATAGAAATAAAGGGATGTCCAGCTCCTGTTCTTAGCCCTGATGTTTCTTCGCAGCCATCTTCCTCTGAGGCCATGCTCTCTGCTCAGGAAAGGTCCTGCAGACCAGTTAATTGTGTTCGATCATGGTTAAGAAAACCATGGGTTAGGATGGCTTGTAAACCAGGTCTGAAGAAGAGGACATTCTGGTCAAGCAAGATTCTGTTTGTGTAGAACATTTTTCATTCTGAGGACACACATGGCTTTTTGTGATCCAAGAAGCGAGTGAAGCCAGGGCCTAAGAGACCAGGCTGAAATCTAAGTGAGATGAGATTGGATTGATATTAAGATTAGTTAATTAAATTAGTGAATTAAATAAGCAGGATTAATATCCTCAGGTGGGTAATTTTTCCCACTTGTATCACATTAAAACTACAGCTATAGCTTTTGGAACGTTTATTTATTGGTGTTTTCTTGCAGGTGTGTGTGTGTGTGTGTGTGTGTGTGTGTGTGTGTGTGAAGGAACCTCTTTCTATTTAGGATTGGGAGAAGGTCACGAACACCAGACACCATCACTGATAGGTGTGTTCCGTTGTAGGAAGGAAAAACTGATCTTCTGTCTGTTGTTTTGGGGGAGATGGACCTCTGAGCATAGTTTCTCCATTCTAGGCGTCTCCAAACTTGACAAATGTAAGACTTGTAGACTTCAACTCCCAGAATTCCCCAGCCAGCATGGCTGAATGTGGAATTCTGGGAGTTGAAGTCCACAGGTCTTCAAGATGCAACACAACAAAGACCAGCAGGAAATCCAGCATTATACATGGAAAATGAATCTGGGCTTCATGGCTAAAAAATCTTTGGGAAAAGCAGGAGCAGAAAAAGTCTTATCTTGGATCTAACCAAAGGCTTAGCTATCCTGGCCTGGCGTCTTCTTTCTCCTGAAGTTTAAAACGTGCTGCTACTTTTGGTGTTCAGGTCAAAAAAAAAAAAAAAAAAAAGGGAGCAGACAGGAGGGCAACACTACCACCTCCCCATCTTGCTCTCCTCCATGCTGGAAGTAATATTTAGCCACGATTACAGGGAGCCTTGATATTACAGCCATTTGTTCTGCAAGGGTTCATGCTGGCTGGGAATTCTGGGAGTTGAAGTCTACAAGTCCTATTAAAGCTGACGAGTTTGGAGAGTCCTGCTTTGCTCCATGTAGGCAGGCAAACATTTTGTCCTGTTTGCAAAACTGCTAGTCGAGGGGGCTGCCGTCTGGAAGGCTGAGCCATCTGGTGTGTGAGGAAGGGGGGGGTGTCATTGGTTTGAACCAAGGGGAGGACTAGTAGCCCCATCCCCTGCCGAAAGAAAATCTCTGGGCTTGGTGCCATGGAGCAGGTGGGGGAACTTGGCAGGCGCTGTCTATCAAGCTGGTCTTGGGAGGGGAATGAACAGCCGCGATAGGTCGCTTTTTCAAAAAAACCATCTGCCTCACCATTTCAGAAGTTTATTTTTATGCTTTCATTTTGTAACACTGTGTAATCTGTTGGAGTTGTTTTGGAAGAGAGCAGGCTTTGGGAATGGAAGCAGGCCACTTTTGCAAATTGGCTGCCGCTGCGAGCCATAACAGACCCCCCCCCCCCGATCCCTCGGGAAGTTCTCCTTCCCTGCCCTGTGGAACAGAGATCCCCAGCCTTTTGGGCACCAGGGACTGGTTCCATGGAGAGAGGCTTTCCCACAGACCGGAGGGGGCGTGATTTTGTGTGCTGCCTGCATCTCGCGGATGGAGCTTCGTTTGTTTATGCGGACCGGTTGGTTGCTGGCATGCCGTGGACCGGTAGTGGTCCACAGACCGTAGGTTGGGGACCCCTGCTGTAGAGGAGACCCCATCGGGCACAGCTCAATTTGCAGGTTCTGCTCTTTGGAGTGGCTGGACTTGCACACCACAATGCAGCTAGTCCTTGACTTAACAACAGTCTGTTTAGGGAGTTACAATGGCGCTGAAATTATAACGGCACTGAAAAAAGCGATAGTCCTCAACTTACAACCATTCATTTAGAGACTGTTCAGTTACCACGGCACTGAAAAAAGTGAGTTATGACTGTTTTTCACACTTATAATCATTGCAGCATCCCCATAGTCGCATGACCAAAGTTCAGATGCTCAGCAACTGGCATGTACTTATGACGGTTGCAGGGTCCCGGGGTCACTTGATTCCTGGCTGAGGAATTCTGGGAGTTGAAGTCCATAAGTCTTTAAGTGGCCAGGTTTGAGGACCCTTGCCCTAGCCCAGGGATCTTCAGACTTGGCCCTTTTATGACTTGTGGACTTCAACTCCCAGAATTCCTCAGCCAGGCATGCTGGGTGAGGAATTCTGGGAGTTGAAGTCCACAAGTCATAAAAGGGCCAAGTCTGAAGACCCCTGGCCTAGGATTATGCAACTCCTTAAACGAAATATTTGTTTTTCCAAGGCCTCATGGAAACTTCCTATCTATCCTATCCTATATAATGCATTCTCCTTTCATCTTTAAAAGTGGCCATTTTTACAGAAATTTTAAAAGTCTCCCTGACTGCACTGGTCTTTTTAACGTTACTAATGCTGTTTTTCTGGGGCTGGTGTAGTATTGTGTACGAATCCATCCTCTTCTCCCATTCAACATTGTAGGAATGATTCACACAAACATGACAATGTTGTCCTAGCAGTTATCACACTGTTTTCTCAAATGTCCACAACTTTTAAGATGTGTGGATTTCAACTCCCAGAAGTCCCCAGCCAGCCGATTTCACTCCTGGCGTGAAATTTACAAATTCAGCCACCTTTTTATCATAGCAATGGGGGTTTGCTGATACAGTTGGAAGGTTAGAGAAGCACATGCCAGCTGAGACATCAGCTAAGAATGTGACAGTAAATAATTACATGGCAATTTTGCAATAAGAATCCTAAGATTGCTGTTACGTCATCAAGCCTCTAAACTCTGTATACTGTGTGGTTAATGAGGCACTGAGCAAAATAAGAGCTGCACAGGATTGAACGATTTTCTTGGGCACAACCTGGGCAAGTGGTAGGATAAGTAGAGGGAGTCAAAGCTCTTCTCCAAAGCGCCTGAAGGCAGGACAAGAAGCAACAGATGGAAACTCATCAAGGAGACAAGCAACCTGGAACTAAGGAGAAACTTCCTGACAGAACAATTAACCAGTGGAACAACCTGCCTCCAGAAGCGGTGAATGCTCCAATCCTGGAAGTCTTTAAGAAGAGACTGGACAGCCATTTGTCCGAAATGGTATAGGGTTTCCTGCCTGAGCAGGGGGTTGGACTAGATGACCTCCAAGGTCCCTTCCAACTTTATTATTATTAAGTAGGCTGTGTGAATACTAAGCGAGGAGAAAGCTTATTTTACCCTCACCCAGGAAGCTATTTGGAGAGATACCACCACCTTCGCCGTCTCCATACACACACTTGAAATGAAAGAAGAAGAAAAAATAGAATTTGGGGTCTCAAAGCAGTCTACATTGTTTTGCATAATCACCCCGTTTCTGCCATAAATCAAAACCACCAGAAATCAAGAGCCCAAAGTTGAAGTGGAGAAGAAGAAGTAAGGCAAAGCAAGAAAAGAAATCCAAAAAAGGATCTGCAAATGGATCAAGAACAGAGAAATAAAAAAAGAGAGATAAATAGGTAAAAAAAAAAAGACAAAATATAAAGAAGTAGCTTCTAATCGTCTTTACAGCGTTATTAAAATTTTATCCTCTTTAAGGTTACATAATTCCCTCTTTTCTCTAATCTACCCTTTCTAATTATCAAACCCATAAATCGCAAGCTCATTTTTTCTGTTTTCAGCAAAAAGTCCATACAATAAAGGGTTTCCAGTCACTGACAAAGGTCGGTACTGTATTTCTAATTAGAGAAAAGGCAGTAACGACATTTGTCAGTGACCGACCCAGATTGGATCCTGCGTTACCTGTATTCTCAGGAGATCAGAGCTCAAGAGAAATGAAGATCTTCCTGGGGAAATAGCAGTATTCTGGAAAAAGATGAAGGGCCGTCCCACCACGCCTGATGGCCTTGCAAAGAAGCCAGAACATTTTAGGTTCAAATACAGATCGTAATAGAAAGAGTTTAAAGACTTAATTTATTCAACTGAAACCAGAGCTTTTCTTGCTGGGATTAATGGACCAATAATTGGAAAAGATTTATAGACCATTGTTTCTGTACATAACCGTTGTGAGATTATTATATGCATAAAAATAGAAAGACCCTGAAATACCCACAGTGGAGGAGGAACGGGGTGAAGGTGATGGAATTTGCAGAGAAAGCAAAATTGACCTCTTTAATTAAAGGGTTTTCAGTCACTGATAAATGTTGTTATTGTTATTTTCTCTAATTAGAAAGACAATAACCACCTTTGTAAGTGACTGGAAACCCTCCATAGTATGGACTTCCTTCCTTCCTTCCTTCCTTCCTTCCTTCCTTCCTTCCTTCCTTCCTTCCTTCCTTCCTTCCTTCCTTCCTTCCTTCCTTCCTTCCCTCCCTCCCTCCTTTTCCTAAGGGTTCAGTTATCCATGTGCACAGATAAGGGTCTTGGCACCACCCCAGGTCTGGCAGTTAAAAGCAGAAACCTGCATTGTAAGCAGTAGTTAAGAAGCAATTTGGTCTGAGAAGAATTTCTCAGCACTGGAACTGTTCAGATGTGACCAAAGCTGAAGGCAGGGAAAAACCAGAATCTGGTGAGAAACTAATCAAGGAGAGAAGCAACATGGAACTAAGGAGAAATTTCTTAACGGCAAGAGCAATTAACCAATGGAACAACTTGCTTTCAAAAGTTGTTGGTGCTCCATCACTGGAGGCTTTTAAGAGGAGATTGGGCAGCCATCTTGTCTGAAATGGTCTTGGGTCTCCTGCTTGAGCAGGGGGCTGGACTAGAAGATCTTCAAGGTCCCTTCCAACTCTCTTATTCTATGTTCTATGAGATGTTGGCTCCATTTACAAGGCTAGTCTCACATGCCTTTGCGCCCTCCCTTTTTCGAACTCTATTGAATGTTATGCAGATTAATTGTATCTAATTTATGCACATCTGGAAAGATGGATAGCCAGTGAGATGGTTGTTAAGAGTGCTTTCTTATTTACTGAAGTGGAGCCCTGTGCTTCCTCTCCATGGCATGCAAAGCAGTTGAATATGGATATGCAAGGCTGTCTGGCAGACAGTGACAATCCAAAGGTGGTGCTGAACGTCAGAGGTTCCGCAGATCCAGTGGCCCGTAGAACGCCTTCCACAGCACAGAAGTGAAAGCGGACAGAGGACCAAGAATAATTGTCAGAACAGTGGCAGATCTTAGCCAACCTTGGTTGATCTTGCTGGAATGCAAGGAAGGAACCTGCAGGTATTTGGATGGAAGACTGTTGGAAAATTCATCCCGCCCCCCTCCCAAAAAAATTCCCAACTTCTGATAGCCAGATTCACTTAACAACTGTCCTACCAACTTAATCAAAGTAGCAAAGTAGTAAAATGGGGCAAAACTCACTTAACAGACGTCTCACTTAGTAACATAAATTTTGGGCTCGATTGTGGTCGTAAGTTGAGGACTATCTCTATAATAAATGGAAGTCCCTATTGGTGTGATCTTGTAGACCTTGAATTTAGACATGTATGTTTCTGTTTCAAAATACGCCAAGATGACCTCAGCAGCTTCCTTGAAATACAAGCCAACTTTGTGTGCAGAGCCTCCCCCCCCCCCGCGTCTCCCTCCCTCCCTCCCTCCCTCTCCCTCCCTCCCTCGATAACAGTCTATCATCTCCCCTGCCCTGGCTCTCTCTCCAAGAGAGAACGGCTGAGTAACTCAGGATGATTGAGGGAAATTTTGCTCCTTTCTCTGGCTGTGATAAGCAGGAGAAGGGAGAAAAAGAAGCGAATGGAGCGGGGCCAGTGAAAGGTGAGAGCAAGCAAGGGCTGTGATTCAACAGAGAACATAATTGACAGCACCAGGCAAAACCATCTCTCTGGGTTGGCCCCTCTGCCATCCCCAAACAGCAAATAAAAACAATTAGTGATTCATGGAAGAGTTGAATTGTTTCGTTTCTTGGCTTTGGGCTCGAAGGAGAGACTGCAAAGGATCAGCACTGGAGGTTTAAAAATAAAAGGGACCAGATGTGCAGCATTCTGCTATCATCAAGCAGAATAAGAGCTCAGTTCTCCTTGGGGGGGGGGGAGACATAATTTAATGCTGTAAGATGCCCAGAATCACTTCGAACTGAGATGGGTGGCAGCTAGATAGATATAGAGAAAGCTAGATAGCTAGACGGATGGATGGATGATAGATAGATAGATAGAAAGAGAGGCAGATAGATAGATGATAGACAGATGATAGATAGATAGATAGATAGATAGATAGATAGATAGATAGATAGATAGATAGATAGATAGATAGATAGATAGATAGATAAAGGGACAACTCGCCACAGCCAACTTGCCATGGGACAACTTGCTACAGGACAAGAGTTATACTAATACCAAAGAAGTGGTGGAATAAAACCATGGTGATCAGAAAGGAGGGGAAAAATAAATTTTTTAAAAATTACTTTAAATACTTGAATTGTTGAATTGTCCTGCAGCAAGTTGTCCCGTGATGCGTTGTCTTGCTGAGAGGTGTCCTTGGTGAGTTGGCCACGGCGAATTGGCCACATCAAATTGTCCCATTCTGAGCATGCTGTGTGCAGCCGCTAGACTTTCAGTTGGTCTGTTAAGTTGTCTGATCAGAGCCACAACTACACTGCATGGTAACATTGATACTAGTATTCACTTAACCTTGAACAAAATCCTAGTCTTTTAGATATACTAAAAATTGAATGTTTTTTTTTTCAACTACAAAAGATAAACCTTGTAGGGTAAGGCAAGACAGGTTGTATGATGTGTGTGAGTTCCGGCACCTTTTTTTTTTTTACAAAAAAAAAAACCACTCGTGTGATATGAATCCTACTTGTATAATTTACAAACTGCGATCTCTAAGTTGTAGAATTAAGGGAACTGATAGGAGAAAGGATCACAACACCTGATTTAGAGCATCAGGCCCCTTCTAAATCAAGAGTCATTGTTTCCATTCTCCAGTTGCTCTTCTCAGGAAATTCCTCATTCAGCTGGATTTATCTGTTTTCCTGTCATTTAAATCCATTTTTTAGTGTTCCTCCCTCCAGAGATGAAGCACTCACAACCTCTGAAGGCAAAGCAGTTCCATGGTTAATTTGTTCCCACGGTTAGAAGTGTCTCCTTAATTCCAGGTTGGTTCCCTCCTGGGTTAGTTTCCGTCCATTACTTCTTGTCTTGCCTTCAGGTGCTTTGGAGAATAGGTCGATCCCCTCTTCTTTGTGGCAACTCCTCGAATATTGGAACACGGCTATCATGTCCCCCTTAGTCTTTCTTTTCTCTACTCTAGCCATAGCAGCTCCTGCAATCGTTCTTCGTGTTTTAGTCTTTGTTGTGACAAGTTTTTATGATAAGCGTTTTCTGTTACGACAGAAATTAGCGCTCAGTTTAAAGTAGTTATTTGTTATTAAAGTGGGTTGTTTCTTTTTCTTTAAAAAGAAGTGTCTAGGATTCTGACACACCCTGGCATGACCAAGGTCAGGATTCTGTCTCTGGCGATAACAGCAGCCTCTCCCCTCCCTGTAAGCTGTTGAATACAGTAGGCCTGAATTACCCAAAAGCTTTGGAAGGAGATGGGGTCCCAGTGTTGCCCAAGGCCAGGGGTAGGCAACCTTGACTCTTTTATGACACGTGGACTTCAACTCCCCGAATTCCTGAGCCAGCCATGCTGAGGGGAAAGGGAGAGGTTTCCAAGCTGAGCCATGCTGGCTCAGGAATTCTGGGAGTTGAAGTCCATGCGGCATAAAAGAGCCGAGGTTGCCTACCCCTGCCATAGGGGTTCCTTTTTCCAATGTGAATGGAAGGAATTAATGACTGCACAGAGAGAAACTAGGTCCACTGCTGCATCTCCTGCTTGAACAGGGGGTTGGACTAGAAGACCTCAAAGATCCCTCCCAACCCTATTTGTCCAACGTGTTACTTAGGAGCCATTCTGTGAGTTGGAACTGCTGATCTTCTTTAATCTCCAGAAAACCAGAATGTGACTCCTCCCATCTTGGACAGCCGGCATCTGCAGATAAAGGCCTGCCCCCGCTTAGCCCGAAGAGCTTGGGTTAGTAGAGTCTTGGCTCGTGTAAGTGTGCAAACAGAAAGGGTGTGCGAGAAAGGGAACATGATGTCCAGTTTCAAGTGGCCCTGGAGGGTAAGTATCTGAGTCATGGGATGGTGGTTTTCAGTTTTGTCTTCAGCCATCACGTGGTTGGATGGACTTTAGTTTTCCTTAGCTGCTCTGAAACAGTGTAGTTAGCAAACCATGGTTTACAGAAACGCGTTTTGAGTGAAGCTAGCAAATTGCAATCTTATTGCAGTATTTCAACCCAGCCTTATTCGATCTTTTCTTCTTTTCGGGGATAAGAAAAAGACAGAAGATATGAAGATCTGGAAAGCTACCAGCGTATAGCAAGAGTCAGTTACTAAAGGCATCCCACAAAAAAAGGCATTTTGCTTCTGGGTTGAAGTAGACCGTAGCAGTTTGATGTCCGTGGAGATTCTCAGTCATCCGGATCATGGTTGTCCCAAAGATGCTTTTTCAAAAGGCAACTGGACTTTCTTATTTATTTATTTATTTATTTATTTATTTATTTATTTATTTATTTATTTATTTTGTTAAGTGTTTTGCTTTTTGGATGAGAAACGAAACATTTTCAAAGAAAAAAAACACAAGAAAATCGGCTTTCCTTTTGGAAAAGCACCTTTGGGACAATAGCAGTTCACTTCTACAAATGTATTGGCCAGGTTCATGTCTTGAATTAAACCAGTCTGAAGCACGGTTTGTTGATTATGTCACGGAGGCTCCATTTAGGCATCTTAAATGAAGCCATGGATTGCAAAACAGTGTTTGGATTCTCAAATGTTAAGCCAAGATCAGCTTTGTCGCGGCTTAAGTGTCAGTTGTACGAACTGGAAAGGGGCAGGATTGGTTCCTACCTCACACGAAGTCCTTATTTGAATCATGGCTTGCTGACTGAGCTACACTTGGTTGGATGCGCGATAATTCATGCTTTAGAAACTGCAGCTGCCAACTTTGCAGAGTGCATTCACCTTAAACTAAGCCAACATCTGTAGGTCTCCCCCCTCTTCCTTCTATTCAGTTGTGGGGCCTGATTTTGACACCTTTTAGCTGGGAAATTCTAGGAGTTGAAGTCCACAAGACTTAAAGTGCCACGCTTGGACACCCCTGCATTACACCGAATAAACTGAGGAGAAGGGTTGGAATTAATTTGCAATGAGTAGGATCCAACAGTTTCAGCTCGTTTTGACTTCTCTTCCAAGGTCCCTGATTGGTCTTTAGAGTAAAAAAAGGTGGGAGGCAGGAGTTGAGTGATAGAGCCTATCCAGAGATGCTTTGGAGGACAAGGTGGCTGGCAGACCCCAATTATTGCACCCTCTTTCCTTATTTGTCCCCTAAAACGGGAGCCCAACTCTCTGGGACATTTCTGAAAATGGCAGGAAAGCCATTTGTTGCTGTTGGTTCCATTTGGTGATTGAGGAGCCAAGGGCCATCCTTAAAGAGCCTTCATGTTCTGTCTCTCAGTTGCTTCTCTCTCTCTGTTACCCAAGGGATGTCATTGAATCAGGATTCCCTGCCAAGAATAGCTCTTTTTTAATCGGCTCCTGCTGGTGTCATCATGAAGAGTCTCTGTCCACCCAGTCATCTTTTGCTGTAATTCCTGATAGCTAGTGACTGCCCTAAGCGTCAGGATCTTCTCCAATGACTCTTGCCTTTAAATGATGTGCGCAAAATATTTATATTGGAAATATACAAGGAGGAGTTTATTCAGTCCCAAGGTAACCCTTTATTCAAAAGCACTTTGTTGAGGTCACTCCGTGACCCAGTGCTCCTTCCTCCCGCCCAGCTTAACAGAAACACGGAATTGGAGGTCTTGTAGTCCAACCCCCTGCTCAAGCAGAGATCCTATACCATTTCAGAGAGAGAGAGAAAGAGAGAGAGAGAGAGAGAGAGAGAGAGAGAGAGAGGGAAGGAGAGTGAGGGAGAAGGAGGGAGGGAGGGAGAGAGAACAAAGTCAAGTTTGCAGATGTAAGAAAGATGTTGGGTTTTCTTGACCTCTTCTGGAAGACCTCTTCCCCCTGTGAAAGAAAAGTGATACCACTACGCTGGCCCTGCTGTTTAATTGTCATCAGCTCTTTGCTGCACACTCGAGGTGGAAGGAATAATTCTGAATGAAAAAAAAACGAGGACAAATACCTAGATATTACATTACTTTGGCAAGCAAGAGCGAGCTCGGTTTTACATCTGGGGAAGTGGCAGATTTTTCTAGTTGTAAAATTGGTTCCCGCAAGCTTGAGTTGGAACATTGCATGGCTTTTGCTTTTCCAATTACTATTATTGGTCAGAGGCTGAGTCAAAGGAATCTTCCTTTAAAGCAGGGGTGTCAAACTGCTGGCCTGTGGGCCGGGCGTGTCGCACAGAAGCCGCGCCCAACCCATTGCCAGCAATGGCAAAACAGTCCTGATACGTCGCACGGCATCAGGTGATGTCGCGAGTTGGACATGTCTGCTTTAAAAGGATGGTGTGTTATTTATCAAATATTACACGGCTGCCCACCTCGGTCAAGGTGACTCTGGATGGTCACTGGACAGACTACCAACCTTAGGTAGTCCTCAACTTACAACAGTTTGTTTAGTGACCGAAGTGCTGGCTCAGGAATTCTGGGAGTTGAAGTCCACGAGTCATAAAAGAGCCAAGGTGGCCTATCCCTGTCATAGGCCAAAGACTATCTGTATTACAAAGGAATATAAACAACCCAATTAAAGCAAATAATTAACATAGGTAAGAACAAGACTGTGAGACTTATGTCTAGGTCTGCCAAAGCAGTTACAAAAGACAGAAGGAAAAAAACAACAGAATTGTTAGAAACACGGGTGGCTTTTTATACGGTTAAATCATGAACAAAAGCGAAAACGTTTCTCAAGATTTCTGGGGAAGAATTTCAGGCGTTTCTTCTTCTCTCAGAAAGCTAAAATTTGTAATGGAGCCAGGTTGGGCTCTTTAGGAGCTACAGACATTGTATAGATAATCAACCAACTGAAGTCTTCCGAAAGTCCAGAGCGGTTTCTATGCAATGTCCTAAGTTCCTGGTTGGGTTCTACTTGTATTGATGGAGTCTTGTGGGATGTTGTAGATGTGGCGTTGAGTAGCTGTGGAGCATTGCTTGAGGTGTCTTGGGCAAGAAGCAGACAAACCCAAATGCCTGCCCACCTCTGATGGTCCTTATCGGTGGCAAACAGTTGTCAACATTTCTGTGAGGGGGCCCCAACAAGGACAAAACTGAGGTTGCTGAGTAGCTCTTTAGGAGAATGTAAGATAACTGCATTACTAAAAACCTACTCAAGTACTGTACGCCAGAGGTCCTCAACCTTGGCCCCTTTAAGACTTGTGGACTGGCTGACTGTTGTTGTTGTTGTTGTTATTACAAATGCTCGATATCATTGTTACATGTTCTGATTGAGTTATAGAATTTTTTGCTTCCAATAGTTTATCCAGAAGCGGTTGTGGCAGATTCATACCCCTTATAAGTTTTTGGCCTTGAACTGAGTGCAATTAGCCTCATTTTGCTTTGTTCCTGTGCTCCGGGAGCTGAACAAAACATCTTCTGATTTTATATTTTCAAGTCCTTGGGGGAAATTCTTCCTTTAATGGCTCCAGATACTCTGTCAAGCGTTAAATGCCATGCCATATAGGAACAGCGGTCCACCTTTTCATGTTGAACCTAACACGGTCTCTGTTTTCTGCCAACCAGCAGCAAGTGATCATAATTGATGGCTGCTTGCTGTGCAATTCAGATTTCAGTAGCTGAAGAAAAGAGAGACTAGCACACAGCTCACCTCGAAGAAGGACGTGCCAAGCGAGATGCTATTAAAGTCTTAGTGAGGGATCTGGGGTGGGAGGTTGTGTAATGCGACACTGAAATTGAGCCATTAAAACTGCTAGTGCCATGGGTCTGTGTGGCCATTAGGGGGCAGTGTTGGATGTGTTTGGGCTCGGGGAATTACGCTGGGAATTGGCATCAGAGAAGCTAATCGGACCCACAATAAACGCAAGCTGTGTTTGTCTGAAAACTGGACCTGACAGCTTCCTTATGGTTGAGTGGAAAATAATGTCAGGAGGCCATGTGGACAAAGCCCCTGACCATCAAGAGCGGGATTTCTTCTTGAGGCTCATCATACGATTTAGCCTCCAGATCAATCTATCATCTATAATATTTATATTACTATCTCTAGATCAACCTCCTTATATCATCTTGGCTGCTCTTCACTGCACCCTTTCTGGGGTCTCAGCATCTTTTTTGAATTCTGGCCACCATGATGCAAAAAAAAAAAAAAAAAAAGTCCAGAAAGAGTGCCGAAAAGAGCAGCAAAATTTATTAGGAGACTGGAGGCTAAAACAGGGGTAGGCAACCTTGGATCTTTTATGACTCGGGGACTTCAACTCCCAGAATTTCTGTGACCATGGGGACGCTGCAACGGTCGTAAGTGAGAAAAATGGCGACAACTCGCTTTTTCCGGTGCCATTTAACTTCAAATGGCCACTAAATGAACTGTTGTAAGTCAAGGAATACCTGTACTGGAAGATTGTCCCTCCCAATCCTCCTCGTTGTTAGGCTAGAGATGCCCAGTTCTCGTAACCGTCCTGGCCACATGCCAAGGAGGGAAGCCCAAAGGAACCACAGA